TTACTAAAACAGCTTCAGTGCCCCTTGGCATTTCTGCAACTGTACTGGGGGCTTGTACCACCATACTTAGGGGCTTACACCACACCACTGATGGTGTCTTGATGATGGTGGTAGAGAGCGCTGTCTAACATATTAGTTCAAAATCCTCCTTTAGGGTTCAACTAAACTAAAGGGGAATTCCACAGATTTTTTCAAAAAATCTGCGTAATTCAGAGTGGTTTGGTGTGAAATGGTTCAGATGTCTTTACAGTGGTGGTGATAGGAACCAGGGGTCGCCATGATTACAACACAAATATAGACATTTTATTTACTATCCAGAACCACCAGTGAACCTACACGAGTCTTCTGAGTTTATATGGAATGTTGATGATGGAAAATAGTGGAAAATCTGAAGTTTCTTTGGGGACTATCTTAACATAAAATAGCGTGCATATACTCCTTTACCGTGAACGGAACAGAACAATACATTTTAACCAAAAATCTTATTTAATTATTCCAAAACAGTGTCTCAGTCATCAAGCGGTGAATTCATAATCATTTCATGTTAGAACTTTTTGTGAGGAAGTTTTTAGAGGTGGACATCTGGCAGAGGTCACTAATAGGCGGAACGTGGTCTGAGTCCCGACCCAGATGCTGTCCTATGCAGACCTGGGCCTAGAACCGATAGACTATGAAGAATTATTTAATTTTGACAGGGTGGTCTTATTTAATCGGCGTAACTTTTCTAACATTTACGGTAGCTTTAGCACCCAGGAGACTCACAGACCAATCGCATGGGTTGTAAAAATCACAAGTAACGCTACTCAGCCAATCAGATCTGTGCATTACGTTGAGCACTGAGACTCGAGTGAGTGGCACACACACAGGGGAGGCATGAGGGAAGATGGATAAAATGCAGATGGACTAGTGCATGATTGCATGGGTCTTGGACTACCTGTCTGGAAGACCCCAGTATGTGCGGTTGGGAACCTGCCTGTCAGACCACCTGGTCAGCAGCATTGGAGCACCTCAGGGAACTGTGCTCTCCCCCTTCCTCTTCACCCTGTACACGATGGACTTCCAATACAGGTCGGACCTCTGCCAGCTTCAGAAATGTTCTCATGACTGTGGTGCTTGGGTGCATTAGTGATGGGTAGGAAGGAGAGTATAGACACCTTGTGGAAAGCTTTGTTGAGTGGTGTACGAAGAACTACCTGATCCTCAATGTGACCAAAACCAAGGAGACGGTGGTGGCCTTCAGGAGGAAGAGGACCATGATCGGTCCCATTACCATCACAAGTCAGAACGTTGAGCTGGTGGGCACCTACAAATATCTGGGTGTCCTGCTTGACAACAAACTGGACTGGAGGGCCAACACAGAGGCTGTGCACAGGAGGGGGATGAGCAGTCTCTACTTTCTGAGAAGGCACACGTCCTTTAATGTGTGCACCAAGATGTTGGTGATCTTCTACCAGTCTGTTGTGGCGGGTGCTGTCGTCTTTGCAGCAGTCTGCTGGGGAGGCAGCATCAGAGGGGGAGATGCAAAAAGACTCAATAAACTGATCAAGAAGGCTGGTTCAGTCTGGGGCTGCTCACTGGATGGTTTTGAGGTGGTGGTTGAAAGGAGGTCACTTAATAAACTCACTGCTATCCTGAACAACACATCTACTGGTCAGACAGCGGAGCACCTTCAGCAACAGACTCTTTCAGCTCTGCTGTAGTGTGGAACGGTACAGGAGATCATTTGTACCAACAGTGATTGCACTGTACAATACCTTGTCACTGTGCCAGGACATTGTCATATACTGAGCCACTGACAGGACAGGCTCACTGGGCACCAACTGGACACTACATTACATCTCTCCACTCATACTACTATGCACTGCCCGTTTGTTAATGCATCCATTAATGTTATATTGCACAACTGTTAACATGGGTTATCATTACAGTACATAGTCAGTAGTTCATTCACTGGAGAAACATGCACCACTGCATTGTCAACCGCATAGTACTTATGCAAATTTACTTCTTATTTTTGTATGGCACATTATTTTTATTGTTTTAGTATATTTTGTTCTACTATTTATCTTTACTTTCTATTTATGTATTTGTAAAGAGTGTATGGCAATACTTTGCTCCTGTTCATTTTGCTCTTGTTTTGCTCTTTAGTGTGCTTTGTACTGCTGCAAAGAAGAATTTCCCTCTGGGATTCATAAAGTAATCTATCTATCTATTTATCTATCTATCTATTTATCTATCTATCTATCTATCTATCTATCTACGTTCCAACCCGTAACTATTGATTCCCTCTAAGAAGACAGGAGCACCCAAATCATGCTAATGAAATGCCCCTACAGCATAACAGAGCCACCAGACCCCCTCACTGAAGGGGTCCAGCATTTAGGCCCTCCACTTGTGGAGGAACGTGGTGAAGGATGACCCATCTGACCAGATCACTGTTCTCCACATCTTTGTAGACTAGTACTGATGTATTTTACTCCACTGACCTCTCAGATGGTCATTGGTCTTTGTAATGACAGGTTTCTGCTGCTCTGCTGTAATATCCCTCTCTATGAAGCAGTGGACGGACTGTTCTTGCTGACGTCCTGCATTGATGTTTTCAGCTCACCTGAGGAACATCTGCTCTTATATGTCACACTAATGCACGCTCATACAGCCCATATTGGCAGGATAAACCTGTAATTTGAAGTTTTTACAAATTTATTTTAAAAGAAAGACTGATATGTCTGATTTATAAATGTATGACTCCCGACTTTAATACGCAACTAGAGCTAAACTTTAATGCATACACAAGCACAGTCAGTCAATGTGAAGTCCGGTACCAACAGAACTCTTCCCAGAACTTGAATATCTCTGTAACCAAATGGGAAGGGTTTTTTGGTTAGGGAGGTGGTCATGAACCCAAGGCCACTCCGGCAGAACTTCAGGGAGACCCTGGCAGCAGGACAACCATCCCAGATACGCTCCATAAAGCAGGCCTTTATTGCAGAGTGGCTAGATGCAAATCACTCGTACAGAAACACGGTATTATGGCAGGCCTGGATTTTGTCAAATGGTACTCAAATGACTCTGAGAAGCATAAGGAAAAAGATTCTCTGTTCCGATAAGACAAAAACTGAACCCTTTGGACTGAACTCTCACCATTATGTGTAGCAAAAACCATCCCTATATTGAATCATAGTAATCAAAACATCATCCTTTTGGACAGTTCTCAGCTCTCTCTCTTCAGGTAAAAATATAAAGCTAGCTAAATATAAAGTCACCCCAGAAATGGGACAAAAGACCTTCTTTAGCATACTGGTACAAAATATAATTTTTAAAATTATTTCTAGCATAAAGATACAAAGGTGCAATTGCTCTATCATTAGCTTTGCTGTGGTATAGAGTTTAATGCGAGTTAAACCTGAATGAGTCACGTAGGTTCTTAAACTCCATTGCTGTATCCTTGAAAGCTGCAATTTAAACAAAATTCATAACTATATATATGTATATAGTTATATATGTATATGTATATGTGTGTGTGTGTGTGTGTGTGTGTGTGTGTGTGTATCTATATATGACCATTGGCTGAACAGCGAGCTAAATGCTGGCCTGTGAAGCAAAAAGTTGAGCAGGTGTGTAAACACTAAGTATTGAATGAGTTGAATTAAAGTATAATAATTGTTGTCCATGTGACAATTTAAAGAAACAAGCAGCAAGAAGACTTTAACGAGCTAAAATGAAGTCAGTTCAGTAAGTTTAAATTCATTCTGTGTATGATAGCTAAGCTAGCTGAGTTAGCCAACAGACAAATGATAAATTCAGTTCTTTAATGGAAAAAAGAAAAACATCTTCTTCTTTATGCTGACACTACAATGGTGTCAGAAGATGTGCAGGTGTGAATCATTAGCCAAGCGTTCACACGGGCCTCTCGGTCTTCCAGTCAATGATTGATCATGCTGCAGGTGTAGTGATTTAGATCCCAATCACAGAGGCTGGATTTCAAATTGAAATAATGCGTTAATTACACACCCAGTTAGTGCTTTGAATGCTGAAAAAATCCATTTACATTTAACCATATTCATGACTCAGTAGCTAACATTTAGAGCACTATTAGTGTGCAGAAGTCATAGTCTCCTGACCTGTGCAGTGCACTGTAACTGCTGAACCATTTAAGGTGGAACAGGAAAATTTGAAAAAAAGCTGGTGAATAGGAAGTTGACTTCAGCCTCCTCCTTCTTACTGTATTTTGAGGGGTTTATTTTTATGTGCATTAAGAAGTGATTCACACACTGATGGATGTGCTGATGTTTGTGATTGTGCGGACGCATTGTATCACCTCTCAGACAGAACAACAGACATGACTTGTTATTTATTTATTTTATTTCAGGTATACAACAACATAACATACAACAACCAACAGCCAGGAACGTATTTAAATAAATCAACATCAATATATAATTCTAAAGTCCTTTTTGCTTTCTTGTTTTTTTTTATAATTTTTAAAGTAGTGCCATATTCCTTAACCTCATGGAGGTAATGTGTAAAGTTTGGCTTATATTCAGACCATCTCTTCTTATGTAAATGATATTTACCCACAATAATTAAACATTGTACAAAAAGAGTTATATTGACATCTAATCTGTCCATAGACAAATAAATAATAACATCTGAAACATCCAGTGTAATACAGTGTCCAGTCTGTCTTCTTACAGAATTTTCCACATCAATCCAAAACACTTTTGTATCAGTATCAACGTGGCATCTGTGTATGTATGTCTATTGTTACGGTGACGTGAAGAACTTCTCCACCGACCAGTCCGCGGACTGCTTGTGTGAGCTAGTACCCAATCGTGCCGCAGGGGGCGGAGTTTATCGGAATACAGGTGGGATACAAATAACCACGCAGATCCGCCGTGATCACGGAGTTCTAGTGTGGAGCCCAGATGGGGGCGCTAGTTCTACAACTGTGATTCTCCACAAGACAATACAGTGGAAAAGAAGAAGAGGAGCGCCTTGTGATCAGCAGTCAAAGCGCCTGCGCGCGCAGTGTTGCTGGAGCAGAGAAACGGGAGATGTTCTACTGTACGCAGAGGTTCTAACACCTTCTCACACTCTTTTCTCTGTGATCTTTAGAGAATGAGCTTCCTGGTGAACATCTGGTAGATTAAGAGGTGATGATGGAAACTCCAGCAGGTTTCTGTGGTGGTGGTTGAAGGTGTTCCAGAAGGTGAGAGCAGAGCTGATCAGGATCAGGATGTTAGGACGGTATAATAGAATTTTAGTTTTGGATTTGTGTGTTTTAGTTTTGCCGAGTTACACTACACATTACTGATAACGTAATGGTAAGTTTATTGACTAACTGACTAAATAACATTACAGTGTTGCAGGAAGACTAGATCTGGTTTTCTGTGTATCATAACATATCTGTGTCAGCAATAACGAACTTAACTTAGAACAGATTAGCTGTGCTTTTATAATATTCAAGTTGTTATTAAGACATTTTTAACAGGATTTATTTTTATGCCGTAGCTGGTTAGCTAACTTTGCTAAGGTAACTGTAGGTTGCCAACTGTAATCCATGTCTTAGATAGGTTGAGTTTTAGGTAGGACAAGGAGCTTACTTGGACATAGGCTATCCTACAATGTCAAGTAAGTATGAACAGAATTCAGGTGGAGCCTGGTTTAATGACTGCTTGCATAAAAATGACAAGCAATGCTGCATGGTGGTGCAGTGCAGTACTAATTTCATGTTATGGTGATTCAGTCTTTCCATACTTGACCAGTCTATGACCAGCTCTAACAGAGATATTTGTTGGTATTCCAGATCTTGTCTTGACTTCCACTTATGTAACATAAAAATGTACATTTTTTTATTTGATCTTAAACAACTGAATGTTGTTGACAGTGGGAATACTACGGACAGAATTGGTCACATTTTTTGTTTTTGATTTGAATTTATTTTTTTCTCTCTTCTCTCTTTCAGAAAACAATGACTTCCTGATGCTACTTTCCTACACAGTTAACAATTACTTCTACAAACCCATCAGATTTCGTCAAGAGGAATACTTCAGACTTCTGAGGTAAAGTGTGATTAATTAAGAGAAAATGGAACTTACAAGAAGCTCCAGTGTTCAGAAAACATCTGCTCAAAACCAAGACAGAACTCATCACTGCTCAGAGTGTGGGAAAAGTTTTATTCAACTGTATCATCTCCAAAGACACCAGCGTATCCACACGGGAGAGAAACCGTATCACTGCTCAGAGTGTGGGAAGAATTTTATTCAGAAGAGTCATCTCCATAGACACCAGCTCATTCACACAGGAGAGAAGCCGTATCTTTGCCCGAAGTGTGGGAAGAGTTTTAATCGGAAGACTCATCTTCAAAGACACCAGCTCATTCACAGAGGAGAGAAACCGTATCACTGTTCAGAGTGTGGGAAGAGTTTTAGAGAAAAACCCACTCTCAGAATCCACCAGCGCATCCACACAGGAGAGAAACCTTATCAGTGCCCAGAGTGTGGAAAAAGCTTTAGAGAGAGAAGTACTCTGCAAGTGCATGAACGCATTCACACAGGAGCGAAACCGTATTGCTGTTCTGAGTGTGGAAAGAGTTTTGGTGTACAGAGTAATCTCCACACACACCAGCGCATTCACACTGGAGAGAAACCGTATTACTGCTCAGAGTGTGAGAAGAGCTTCAGGCATTTGAACTCTCTGAAGATGCACGAGTGCACTGTGAGCAAGGCTGAAACGTATGATGCATGAGTTTGTCAGATCAGAAAACTTGATGTTTATTAGGTCTGTCAGATCTTAATAAAAAACAGACTATGATTTTTGTTGTTCACAATTTCGCCTCCAGAATTTTTCCAGAAAGCTGATTTAACAAAACTTCAATTTAAATTGGGTTGACTTATCGTAACACGGGTACATACAGGCTAGAGCACAATGTCTGAACTCTTATGCATGTTATTACTCAGCGAAATCTACATTTGACCAATTCCACAAAATTGGCCTTGCTTGGTGTCTGTGTATGTTCAACAGTGCAAAACAACATTTATTTGTATAGCTCTTTTTACAACTAGTGTTGTCTCAAAGCAGCTTTACAGAAAAGCAGTTTATAGAAGGAAAAAAAAGTTTATGGAAGGGTTATCATAAGAAAGGAAGAAAAAAAATAAAATAAAAAAAAAAAAGGCATCCATGTACAGACATAGGGAACTATATCCGATTCCAAGCCCCTCATTAGCAAGCCAGAGGCAACAGCGGTGAGGAAAAACTCCCTATGAGTAAGAGGAGGAAACCCTGAGAGGAACCCAGGCTCAAGGGAGGAACCCATCCTCCTCTGTGCGACACCGGATGAAGAGAGAATGACAGAGCTAACAAGATTTTATCGCAAGATACAACAAAGAAGCTTAGAGCTTGAACATCTTTTCAGAAATGTATAGTTTACTATACATTAAAAACACTTGTCCCCACTATTTGGTCTAGTCGTCTAGGTACTCAGAACAATTATCATTTGATTTGTGGTGAACTAAAGAGTTCTTTGTTTTGCTTTATAAATCCACTGTTTGTCCCTGTTTTGCATTCTACACTTCTAGGTCAGATTCGGTGCGTTTATCTGTTCACACAGCCACACAGATGACTCATCTGTGTCACACATGAGGAAAAAAGATCGGATTTGGGCCACTTTCACCTGCTGTGTAAACGAAGCCCAAGTTTCTCTGAATGTTCAGAAGCGCTATTTGCAATTCTGATTTGAGACGCTTTCATATGTGGTACTGAAATCCGACTCAGTCTGAACAGCCAGATCGGAATTCATGCAATTTTTACGTCAGTCCAACTCGGCATTCGTCATAATTTCGCGTTGCTGAGAGTCATAAACATTTAGTCTGATGTTTCTGTACCAAAACATTAGGAGAGACTCATCAAACCGCTCCGTGTTCGAAGAGGTTTAGAACAAACCGACCGAGCGCGGCCCGAGGAGCCCGAGGCTGCAGCGTCAGAGACCAGTTTAAAGAATCGGAGGACTCGAACCAAAGAAGCGGCCGTGGCCGAGTAACGCGCCCTTTATACAGCGAACTCGAGCACACTGTGGGTGATGAGTCCAGCTGTCAACCACTGAAACTCGCTCCTGTGATGCTGGCGAAGCCGAAACTGAACCCTTCGGGAGCGACTGGCGTTCGCTGGCCATCATGACTGTTTACCTCTGGATGAGCCGCCACGTGAAGCACTGTTCTTTTGCGCATGCGGGTCGGTTTAGGAGCTGATCTGTTCACACTGATGTCGTATACAGGTCACATTTAAAAGATAATGTGAACAGCCAAACAAAAAAATCGGATTTGGTGAGAAAATCAGATTTGGGCCACTTTTACCTGCTGTGTAAATGTAGCCTTAGATTTGCTTCTGCTGGCTGAAACCTTGTAACCACCATAGGATTGTTTACATTTAAACATGTTCCACTTTAGGAAACCCAAACCACGCTTAAAAGGGAAAGGTAGTGGACTGGCTGCTTATAATGGACGTCTGAAAGTGAAAAGTGTTCCTCCGTAATACTGTAATATTTGAGTACTTGGCACTGATAGTTGTCTGGTACTCCCCTATGTTGTGGTCATTAATTTATTGTTCACCTAAAACAGCTCAAAATATATATTTTTTTTTTCAAATAAATTATCTGCTTTCACCATCTTTTGCTGTTATTTTGCTTTGGCACCATTAAAATAAATGTTGATGTTAGCAGCTCTAAATTTCTACTGAATTATTGTCTGTTTCAACCGTACACAGCAGGTACATTGTCTTTCTCATATTCGTGTTTATACATTGTAGTTCTTCTCCTTCACAGACCTTGATGTGTGTTGTTGGTATGTTTGAACACAAACTTATAGAAAGTCGTAATGGTCAGAGTTTCTTTCTTGCTCACTCTTTAGCTCCCTTTCCATTTTTGTAGGGCATCAGTGGTGAGAGGGTTAATTTACTTGTTATGTGGATCTGGTTGATTAGTGGAATCATCTTGGTGATGCCTCCCTTCTGCGTGTGTCTCACAGCCCAGACCAACCGCTTGACTTTGTGTAACTTTGTAACTTAAGCTTTCGACTTACTTCACACTAGCGATGTATCACACTGGATAACGTTGCAACTATCCAGTGTGAGAACAACTTGTTTGTGCCAAGATATTTTTATTCTAAGCATGTATTTAGGTTACAAGGTATCTGGGTGGGGGATAAGGCCCTTTTCTTTTTGTTTGTTTTATCCTGTTTAGCTTGTGAAACTTCATGTGAAAAAGACATCTGGGGTTAGTTAGTTAGCACGTCCCCAGTCACTCAATACCGCCAGCGCTAGGAGGGTAAAAGCTAGTACAGATCACCACATATTTTCAAATGCAACATCATTGGACAGCTGAACATGCTCGGAGGAAAGGGTGATGGGGCCAATGCTTAGAGGGTTGCACTACTCGGGAGTTAGGTTTTGTAATCTGATGCAACTACAGAAAGCCAGTGAGTGGATGAGTAAGAGAATGACTTGGTTGAACTTGGGGAAACTAAAGACAAGCCATTTAGGCTCAATTGCAAGGGACTAAACAAGCCCTTGTCAAAGCCATTTCTACAAGTTAAAAATTTATGATTTTTAATTTCATCTTGAACTACTGAATGTTAAAATAAGGAGTATTCCTGTGAACTTTATTACACTTTTGTTGCATTTCTCATTAAATATTATTTTTCTCTCTTTCAGAAAAGAAAGACTTCCTGATGCAAGTCTTCACCAGCTTCTAGTGTTTACTTTTTCTCACAGTTCACTTTTACCTCCACAATCGCATCAGTAGATGCAATGAAAAGGAATACTTCAGACTTCTGAAATCAGGTCTCATTGAGAATATGGCACCTAGAAGAAGTTCCAGTGCACAGAAAGCATCATCTTTATGTACTAACACACCTGGCAGACAAAAGATATATGCAGGAAGTGTGAAGACACCAGCACATTCACACAGGAGAGAAACCACATCAGTGCTCAGAGTGTGGAAAGGATTTTGATCAGACGATTAATTTCCAAAAACATGAGCACATTCACACAGAAAACATATCAATGTAGGAAGACATTCAGAGAGAATGTCTGTTTGGTTAGCTTAGTTGCACTTATTTAAGGGTTAATTAGTTTGAGGGGTTTCATTTGTTATTTTTAGACATATATTTATCCACGATATAATGGTGCCATAACGAAAATGAAAGATCTATGTGGTTTATACTCAGTTGTTGGCATTTTAGTCTAGAAGTGGTAAGAGGGAAGGGGTCTATCCTTTATCACAGACTTGTTTTTTATCCTGGTCACTTTATTGCATCCTGTAAAGTGTGGCAGGTCAAAGACACATCAATATAGAGTTTGGAGTTGTCTTTGACATGCTGCGTTTTGATACCAAACATGTTGGATTTGCGCAAAATGTAACTGATAAGCAGATTGTGATTTGGGCAAAGCGGATCCTGTTTATTTTGGTTTTATTTTGACATTTTGACATATTTTGGTTTTCTAAAAATAAGAGGACACTGGCACTGAAGGGCAGCACGTGGCCAACTGTAGAAAGCAAACATCAACATGAAAGAACAAAATCCCAGGCATTTTTTGGCAGTTTAGAAATCCTGGACATAAGAGGACATGTGATCAGTATTCAGAACCATTAGCCTACTGTGTTTGCACACAGAGGAATTAGACCTCCGCATTTAACCCATCCGTGCAGTGAAATACCCACATACATGCACACTAGTGAACACACACACTAGGGGGCAGTGAGCACACCTGCCCAGAGTGGTGGGCAGCCCTATCCACAGCGCCCAGGGAGCAATTGGGGGTTGGGTGCTTTGCTCAATGGCACTTCAGTCACGTACTGTTGGCTGAGGGGATCGAGCCGGTGACCTTCCCGTCATAAGGCTGGTTCCCTAACCTCCAGCCCACGACTGCCCCCCCACCGCCTGTGCATCTTTCCTTTAGGATGTCTCTGTTCCTCTTGGTGGCGGTGCTAATGAGTGGAATTTCATTAACATCTTTAGAGGCACAGGAGCAGCTTAGACCTTGTGCAGCATGGATTTGGGGTTCTTGTGGACTTTGACAGAAATGTCTCACCATTTTCCCACCTGCACATTATTGCCAACTTGGTAATGACACAGATTTGTTTGGCAAGTTTTTGACTGTGGAATCTGAAATTATGTCTCTCCTGGTTAGTCCAGATGTAACAACATGATATATAGATAACCATAATCGTAGGGTTCCTTTTGGATGGTATAAAGTTGCCAAGGTTCAGAAATTAGACCCAGGGTTCCCAATCTCATTTTTGTGTTTTCTTACTCTACACATGTGACCCAGCTAACTGGGAGCTTGTTAATTTATCAGTCAACCTGAATCATCTATTACATTCAGTTTTCTGTCAAACAGAGTGTAAGAACAAGCATGTAAGAAATGTACAATAAATAAATAAATATATAAAACAATCTAGGAGTCATCAATTAGGTTACACTGACAAAAGTGGTAAGGAAGGGCATCCGCTTTTGAGCTTTTTTTCTTTTCATAGTCTTGAGCAGTTTAAAGTAAGTAGAAATATGGTTTAATTTGAATATTGTAAATTTAGGTTGGTATTTCATATATTTGGACTTGTGTATGAAACGGTGTCCCAGGAGCAGAATATTACTGACAAAATATAATTTCTGTTTTTTATTAATATATAAATAGGATATTAATATACAAATAGGATATCTTGTTCACAGGATATAAATGATAGGATATGACTCCTGTGGAATTGAGTTGAGATTTTTGTATCCAGCCAATTACACAGATGTTTCTGTCTTTTTCATAAGCTCTTCAGCTGTTAACACAAAATTAAACCTATTTCTTAAAAAAAAAAGGTTAAACAGTGTTTACAATATTATAATTGTAATTATATATATATATATATATATGTGTGTAATTATAATTGGTCAGCTAATGTAATATCTCTAATTACATGTTTTTAATCTCCGAAATTATTCAAGTTCCACTATGTTTTGTGGTTGCTACGGTGATGTCACGCGCTTCTTAACTGACCAATCAGCGGACTGCTCCGATGGACTCTTACCCAATCGTAGCACAGGAGGCGGGGTTTGCTGGAATGATCACGGAGTTCCAATGTGGGGCGCTACTTCTACAAGTGTGGTTCTCCAAAGACAGTAAAGCGCAGAAGAAGAAGATCTCGGATCAGACGTCCGCTTCTCCGCGCGCACACAGTGAAACAGGATCTGCTCTGTTGTAAGTAAGAAGCCGCAGTGTTCACTGTCAGACTGTCACTGTCAGACTGTCACTATCAGACCTTCCTACTTTCCTTGGTTCTGATCTGTAGCTCATTGTTTCATTACCCTGCTGAAAAACTAACAGAAACCATTAAGTGTTTCTGTTGGTTCCTGATGGTTTTGTAATGTGTTTGTCTTTTTTAATGAGTAGATATCACAGTGTAAAGGATCCTAATGGTTTAACAGGTGACCAGTGGCTGATTCTAAATGCATTTGATGCTTTTCTAAGGGAATCTAAAGGTGTTCTACGGGAAACTAGTGGTCTCTATTGGAAATCATGAAGCCAATTCCCATGAGAAAGCAAAACCATTAGGTTTTAATCCTAATGGTTTCTAATGGTCTTCTTTCAGCGGTGTAAGTAGGGTAAACAGAAAGGAAAGAATGTTACAGGGAACTGTTAGTCTACTTGTTCACAGGACAAATATAACGGTTTGTATCTACTACATTTATTCTGTTAGCAAACTAATTTAAAAAATGGTGCACCACAATTAAAAAAGAAAATGTGCACAATTAAAAGAAAATAAGACAATGGATTGTTGATCATGAGAATGAATTAAGAAATCATGGCTACGAATAAAATAAATTGTGCGTACAAATTGCAGTACATTCACTCAAAATAATTTTTATTTTTACCCACTATTTTTGTAGATTTAGACCCTTGCAGAAGTAGTTTTCTTTTGGCCACAGTATCTTTTGGTTCAGACACAGGAATGTTTTAGTTGCGCCCACCCCCCATCCCCCCATAGTTTTCCATGGTGGATAATTGATGGCTTTCCAGAAGGTGAGACCAGAGCTGTTCTATTCTCTTTGAAGAGGTGTTATCTCCTATCAAGAACACACATCTCTCTTTTAAAGGGGAATCTCCATTCAGAATGCTGTGCAGTCCTGATCAAGGCTTAATTCTTGGCTTAGAGAAGATGATGATTTAAGGCTGTTAAACTTATTTTGCTAGAATTGCAGCAAAATCCATTACAGACAAGGGTACACCCTCTCTGAAAACTGGCCACCAAATTCCTCTAGTCTGTGCTCTTTAAATGTCCAGAGCACAGTCAATATAAGTTAGTATACAAAGTTTATACCATTGCTCAGTATTAAACACATTTATTGAAGTATTCATGAATTGAATTGATCATTTACTGCTTATGACTTGCTGTGGATAAGGAATATCCTTTTTGCATGCTTTTTATTGGGTTTAACAGCATTTCATTTAGCCTGAATAGAAATCCGAGAACTGGTCTTTCCTCTAATATAGTTGCTACTTCTTTTCGCATGACTTTCACTATGGCTGTACTGTCTCAACTGTGAATCGCAGAGGCCACATACAGCCACTGCTAACCCATCACCACAACAGGTTTTTTATTCAGTAAATAAAACTAGCTGTATCCAACATTAATGCTAATTACCAATGGTCTACTTGTACACATTGCTAATGCTAGTGTTATTAACACACACTAGCACCGTCCATTTCCATCCACTCATCAGACGGCATTCAAGGCTCATCAGTACAATACTGTATTCAGGGTCATGTCATGTTTATAACGCATTTACAGGCAGTTCTTGGGTTCATTATTTTTTGAGCTAGATCACCACCTAAATCATCATCTTCTCTAAGCCAAGAATTAAGCCTTGATCAGGACTGCACAGCATTCTGAATGGAGATTCCCCTTTAAAAGAGAGAGAAAGTACATGTCCCATCACGTGTGCTTCCTTCTATTCTCAAAAACATGTCCTTTTGTCAGCTGCATTGTGTGTCCTTTGATGTTTCATCTGTATTTTTCCTCCTGAGGTGAGAACAGCTTTACCTTCCCCTGACTCCAGCCCCCTTCACCTTCTTTCCCCAACCTTTTGATCCTTTCAGGGCTCTAGACAAAAAATTAGCTTAAGGAGCCAGTGGCTTCTGACAGAAAAAAATCAGGCACCAATGGCTGTTTTTAGCTGCCAAAAAATAGCATGCAAACCACTAAACTTTTAAACACTCTCCTCAGGTCAGCTCTGTGATTTAAGCATCTCTGCCTTCCACCATGCCTGATTCTTGTCTTTCTCTTCCTGTTTTTTTATCCATATGGATGACTTTTGGAACTAGTGTTCATTCTAACTTTCAAAACTATGTACAGTCATAAAGAAGTGGACTTTACTTAGACTCTGAGCCCGTTGACCTTCAGAATGTAAGTGTCACTTGGCCACCCGGTGTAGTTTGGTCTCCTTTCTTCCTGCTTGTTGTAAGCCAGTATTTAACACAAGGTTCAGGATTAAACAGCTCAAGTGATGGACCCTCGGTGCTGGTCCTTACTGATTCCTCCAAGGTTGAGCTACGTAGGTGTTTCTTTAACGGTTTCTAGACGGGATTCACGGGCTGCCAATCTTGGGGCATGTGGTTGTGGCAGAGGAGGCATTATTATTTGGAGGCCTGATTGGAGCAGTAATGGTTGCTGCAATTGTGGTGGCAAAGGGCATTAAGCGAAGGATTGTCTGGCTCAGCCTAGGTACCCAATAGAACCACAAATCTGTTGAGTTCACTGCCATTTGGAGGTCAACAGCCTAACCAATAGGGAGATAAGAGTGGAATTGGGAGAAGAATGTTTGTGACTGATTACTGGCTCTATTCATTTATTGGTTGGAGATTTTCTAAGTTAATTATATTGTCATTTCCTGTGCTCCTGACTGGACACAGTTTGATTTGCCAAATACAGAGCTTGTTCCATAGGGCAATTGTTTGATGTCTGAACTGCAGTCCATTGTGTTTGAGCATAATTAGACTCCTCTGTTTATAGTAGAGAATATTTGAGCTCGCTGACTGAATGGCTGACACACCATTTATGGGTGAAAGACTTTTCATTGTGCCGTAGCATGTTTCACAAGGACCATCAAACCTTGTCTGAAGGAGCTGATTTACTGGTTAAGCTTACACATGAACAGGAACAATTGTAGAGGTTAAGGGATATGTCCACATTTGGTGGCTGTGGGTTAAAAATCACCCAAGTGGCCTCCTTCAAATTCTTCTGGATTTTGTAGAAGAACATGTGGAACCGAGTCAGGTTTGCAGCATGGATGAGACATAACTTTCTCATGCTAAATAGTGATAAGACTGAAGTCATCCTTATTGGATCTAAGGCTACGTTCACACAGCAGGTAAAAGTTGGCCAAATCTGATTTTCTCACCAAATCCGATCTTTTAAATGTGATCTATAGTTTGAACAGATCAGCTCCTAAACTGCATGCGCGAAAGAACAGTGCTTCACATTCATGTGGTGCGCTCATCCAGAGGTGAACAATCATGACTATAAACGAACACCATTGCTCCCGGAGGGTTCAGCTTCATCTTCGCCAGCATCACCCAGAATGTGTTTGAGCTCGCCGTAAAAAAGGCGCGTTATTCGGCCACGGTCTTTGGTTCTTTGGTTTGTGTCCTCGGATTCTTTAAACTTTTCTTTCAGACTTTTAACTGTTCTTTCACGCTGCAGCCTCGTTCTCTGGCTGCGTTCGCAATTTCTTTCAAAATCTCTTCAAACACAGAGCAAATTTTTTAGTATAGAAACATCAGCCCAAATATTTATGAGATCTCAGCAGCGCAAAATGTTGACAGATGTCGAGTTGGATTGATGAATTCCAATCTGGAGTCGCATTGCCGCAGATCGGATACATATTGATGTTTTTTTTTGTTGTTCACAGTGTGACAAAGATGAAACGTCTGTGTCACATACGAGGAAAAAGATTGGATTTGGGCCACTTTTACCTGCTGTGTGAACACAGCCTAAATCAACCCTCAATAAAACTGGTCTTCTCATTGACAGTATGACCGTGTCCCTTTTCTCTCTTGTTCTGTCTGGTTGTTATTCTTAACTCTTTAATTTGATGCCCATGTTATATCTGTTGTTAAAACCTACTGCTGAAGCTCTCATGCATGCATGAGCCAAGAACTTGCAACATCATTCACGACTTGTTCCTTCAGGTGTGGTTTCCCTTCCATTTCTAGAAGTTAAAAATACTTAAATAAAAGTACTTTTTTTTTTTCAATTTTGATTTGACTGTTAACAAATGCTCCACGACCCAGAAGGATAAACTTGATTGAATTTTCATTTTGATTAAACTTTAATTTCAATTTTTTCTCTCCACTGAATTCCACTACCCCTATTGTTTTGTTTCTTACACAGTTAAATTTACCACCAAAAACACACAAGGAGATTAAACAGGAATACTTTGGACTCCAGAAGTAAGACCAGAGATCAGTTGTGAGAACATGACATCCAGAAGAAGCTCCAGAACTCAGAAAACGTCCTCTGATACTCTACGCACTGATGCATCTCACATACAAGTGGGAGAAAATGCAGACAAAGAGAAAAATCGCTATTGTCTGGACTGTGGGAAAAGTTTTACTCAACAGGGTCATCTCACAAGACATCAGCGCATTCACACTGGAGAGAAACCGTATCAGTGCTCAGAGTGTGGAAAGAGTTTTTCTCAACAGATTCACCTCCAGCTACACCAACATGTTCACACAGGAGAGAAGCCATATCTCTGTTTAGAGTGTGGGAAGAGATTTGCTCAACATGGTCATCTCCATCTACATCAGCGCATTCACACAGGAGAGAAACCGTATCAGTGCTCAGAGTGTGGAAAGAGTTTTAATCGACAGACTCATCTCCGAACACACCAGCACATTCACACAGGACTGAAACCTTATTACTGTTCAGAATGTGGCAAGACTTTTAACCATCCAAATAGTCTTGATCTACACCAGCGCATCCACACAGGAGAGAAACCGTATCACTGTTCAGAGTGTGGGAAGAGTTTTTATCAACAGAGCACTCTCAAAGCACACCAGCGCATCCACACAGGAGAGAAACCGTATCACTGTTCAGAGTGTGGGAAGAGTTTTTATCAACAGAGCACTCTCAAAGCACACCAGCGCATCCACACAGGAGAGAAACCGTATCACTGTTCAGAGTGTGGGAAGAGTTTTCATCAACAGAGCACTCTCAAAGCACACCAGCGCATCCACACAGGAGAGAAACCGTATCACTGTTCAGAGTGTGGGAAGAGTTTTCATCAACAGAGCGGTCTCAAAGCACACCAGCGCATACATACTGGAGAGAAACCATATCAGTGCTCAGAGTGTGGAAAGAGTTTTACGACACAGAGTTCTTTCCAAAAACACCAGCTCCTTCACACAGGAGAGATTCACACTGTTCAGAGTGTGAATGAAGCTTCAGGCTTAAAGTGCACTAAGAGTAAGGCAAAAACCTAAGATATGTGAATTTGTCAAATCATAAAACATGATTTTAGATCTTTTTCTGGCCCATTTTCCATGTAGCAAAAAGCTGCCCTATAACCTAAATATAAAGAGCCTGCAGCAATTATGAACTGAGAGTTATTGTACACAGTGATTTAAAATAATGTGCTTTGGTGAATACCACTTTAAATTACAAATATGCATGCACTCTAGAACTTGGAGTTCACAATTTGTGGCAAATTTGACAAATTATATGTATGTATGCGTATCATCTACAGAGCATGTTAGACAAAAATCAAGCCATGAAATCAAATTGTGCTGAGGCACAGATCTGGACATATGGACCAAATCTTTCCCAAAGCATTGAATGTGTCCAGGGGCAACGTGGAATCAATTTTTGTTAAGTGGAAGAAGTTTGAAACCGATATTTTCTAGAATTTGGACATCTGAGTACCCAGTCAAGAGGGGCCATTGGTCAGGTAGTTTACAACAGACTTGGGGGCAAGTTACTAAGTTGCAAGTAACAAGTCTTGACACTCAAGGAGTGAGAACTTTCTGATCCTGTTCACGTAAGAATGCAACCTTAAGCAACCTTGATGCCATTTCAACACTCGATACCAAAAATACTGGTGACAGTAATATAACAATTTAGTGACAGCACGTTAATAGTGTTAGTTTATTGTTGTTGTTTTCTTTTTTTACCCTTCCAAATAAATTACAAAACCCATGGTACACGAATAACCATGATGGACATAATGGTACATGTGAAAAGGGCAACTACACATGAAATGAATTTTGACTTTAATAAAAAAAGTATTTAAAGATGATTTGTGGGTAATTTCTGGGAACATGGAATAAACATAAAAACTAGTTCAGCAAGCAAAAAAAAAAAAACCACTAGTTTGAAGTGAATTTAGACGACAAAGAGCAGAGACCCAGACAACCTTGTTGATCCAAGTTTATAGCACAGACAGTAAATCTAATCTGGGTAATCTATGAAGCTACAGTTGGCTTCTTGTTTTTAATTTTCTATTACACCTTAAATTTTAGGTGGAACAAAAATTTAAATATGAATGTCAATTTCAGTTTTGTGGTGAATGTTGTGCTTGATATAACTGCAGAAACAGCAGTTCAAGTCTTTGCAAAGTTTCCCAGTAAGACTGGATGCCTTTGAGGCCATTGATGCTTTACAAATTTCTAGCTTATGGATGCAAACTTGTATTTTCACTTGTTTTCTGCAATAAAATAAGCCAAGAACAAACATTGTAATAGGTACTTGACGACACTGCTGTACATACACTATATTACCTGAGTGTTGCCATATGAACTTGAGTGACATCCCATTCTTAATCCATAGGGTTTAATATGATGTCGACCCACCCTTTGCAGCTATAACAGTTTCAGCTCTTCTGGGACGGCTTTCCACAAGGTTTAGGAGTGTTTATGGGAATTTTTGACCATTCTTCCAGAAACGCATTTGTGAGGTCAGACACAGATGTTGGACAAGAAGGCCTGGCTCGCAGTCTCCGCTCTAATTCATCCCAAAGGTGTTCTATCGTGTTGAGGTCAGGACTCGCAGTCATGTTGGAACAGGAAGGGGCCGTCCCCAAACTGTCCCCACAAAGTTGGGAGTATGAAATTGTCCAAAATCTCTTGGTCAGCTGAAGCATTAAGATTTCCTTTCACTGGAACTAAGGGGCCGAGCCCAACTCCTGAAAAACAACCCCACACCATAATCCCCCTCCACTAAACTTTATACTTGGCACAATTTCCAGACAGAGAAGCGTGATTGGTCACTCCAGAGAACACGTCTCCACTGCTCTAGAGTCCAGTGGCGGCACTTTATACCACTGCATTCGATACTTTGCATTGCGCTTGGTGATGTAGCGCTTGGATGCAGCTGCTCGCCCATGGAAACCCATTCTAAGCGCTAGGTCTTTCATGATAGCTACATCATTCTATATGGGTGGTTTCAGCTACAGATATTGGGAGACTGGTCAGAATTTAGGGAAGGGTGAATGCAGCCAAATACAGAAAGGTTCTTGAAGAGGAAGGTTCTTCTGGAGAGTGCACACAACCTTGGACTGTGTCATTAGTTCACTTTTCAGCATGAAATCAAACCAGAGCAAGCAGCCAAATGACTAAACAGCTACTGGAAAAGTGAGCTCATTTTCCTTCATTGGTGTAACCAAAGTCTGAACTTCTGCAGAAGGGAGTTTACAGATGGTCCCAATCAAATTTGACAGAGCTCGAGACTCTAGCACACTAAGTAAAATAAACATAAACATAAATATAACAAGTAAATAGAATTCTAAGGTATAGTAAAAGGTCTTAGCTGGGATTTTTTCTTTAAAACCTATACAAATATCTGGATATTTTTAATATGTTTAAGGGAACCTTAGAATTCATTAGCTGAAAGTGAGAGCAGGATTTATCTCAATTTTATACATAATGTTTTATTTTAAATAAAATCCAATTATTCAGTTATTTCAGTATTTTTGTATATACCTTCATTTTAGCATTTTCCTGTCATTTTCTAAATATAAAATGTCTGCACAAAAGTTATTGCACATTTTGTATTTTGTTTCAAAATGTGCTTAACTTAACCAATAAATAGAAATTGTGATATTTATGATATAAACGTTATCTAATTTTTCATGTAGAGAATCAACCTAATGCTTAATCTGCCTGGGGAATGTCAAAACATTTGAATAGGACTATTGCTATCTAAGTATCTTAAAATCTTGTGATGAGTAAAAAATTGAGAAGTAAGTATTTCAACAAAATAGTTATTTTCTCAATATTTGAACGAACGTAAGACAAAGTTTTGAGAAAGTAAGTCTTTATTTTGAAATATAGGTTCAAGCTTTTTAATTTTTGACGTTATAAACCTGTTATTTAGCTGCCTAAAACCAAGAAGAGTAAAAAAAAGAAACAGATGCGTTGCTATACTGTGTTGTTGTCAAGGTCCTTAAACTTGTTGGAATAACAGGTTGGAACAGAAGATGACCGGTTTGTTCTGTTTCTTGATTCCTGCAGAATTTTTGGTGTGATTGAACATCCTTTCATTTTCTGTTGTTTAGAATCATATACTTGTGGCAAAAATGTTTGGAATCATCATTGTATCTTTTATTAAGACACTACCTGCTTGATATCTCTACCAGAAAAAAAGCAATGCCCTTCATGGATGCACTATTACTCTCTTTTTGTTTATATTGGCTATTAGGTGCTGAAATGCTTAATATTCAAATGGAGAATTCAGACATAGATAAAAATAATATTATTATACATTAAATTGTGCTTAAGCACTTAGCTTATAACTTTTATGGTTAACAAAATATACAATATTTGAATTATATTTAAATTTATGGGATGTCTCAGTAGATGTCTAAGAAAACTCTTAACCACATTGAGGCAGAATATATGTCACCAAGATAAAAATCTTCACAAGATGTGTACACCTAGCATAAAACACATGGGGAATTATTAATTATTTCCAAAAAAGCCATCTTTAATTTGATTTAATGTTTCATTTCCTCTCTTTATATATATTGTTTATAATCATGTTAATTTCTAACCCCCAGATCCTCCAGTGTGAGTCCCCCTGCAGTCCAGGTGGGGGCGCTAGTTCTATATCAGTGATTCTCCAAATACAATAAAGCGAAGAAGATGTGATCAGTCCACAGAAAAACGGAATATATGTAGCCAAGAAAAAAAGCTTGGCAATATGCATACATCCAGCATACTTATGAAATATTCCCAGTAAATATTAGTTGGAATATTATATCTAATATTACTATATATAATATTATAGTAGTTTGAATATTAATACAATATGAATTGCCTTAAAAAGTGAATTGATTTAATTAGAGTATTTTTATTAGTCCTATTTTATTGTTACTATTTCAAGCAGTGGGCTTTACCATTACAAAATTGACTCCTTCATTAAATATTAATTCATTAGGTAGAGTAAAAGTAATGTGTGTATTAATGTGTTACCGCAAAGTGTTTGTGTTTATGTAGTTTAGGTAATATTTACACTTTGCTTACAGTAATGCTGACCAATTAGTGCACTACTCCTGTGAAGTACTAGCAATCATAGTGAAGGAAGCAGGGATTATTGGAATATGGGTGGAATACAAATGACTTCCAAGATCCTCCAGTGTGAATCCCCCTGCAGCCCAAATGTCTTTGACATCACTCACAATGTGACAAACAACAATGATGATGTCAAATACAGGGTGACAGAAGTAATGGGATTCAAGAAGAGCACCAAAGATCCATGTTTATGAGAGAGAATTTTGAAGACTTTGGAAAGCGAAACCCATCTCTCTTGCATATGCGTTCAAAATCTGCATCACCAGCGTAGATACATAGTTACCATAACAACCCATGCAGATAGGTTGGTGATGTCTGGGCACATGAATTCGATCTAAACACTTGCAGATAACACAGATAGTCATCTAAAAAGAACTGATTTGAGAAACAACTCGAATTTGCCTGTAGTCTGAACACAGCCTAAGTGTGGTTCTCCCAAGACAATAAAGCAGAGAAGAATAAGATATTGGCATAAACTGCAGCCTCTGCGCAGACCCTTTGTTGGAGGGAGAGAAACAGGAGTTAGGGTTAAGGATTAAGATAGGGGCTCTAATACAGAAGCATATCGATATCAGCAGATGTTTAATTTAAAAAATATAATCACTGGATAGATGTCTGGATTTGACTGACTATTCAAACAGATATAACGATGATGCATATATTGTGCTCTGGAACTGCAGAATTGTTAAGTGATGTTGGGCTAACTTTTGTAATCCTATCCATGATATTTTTCATGGAGTCATTAAACATGGTTTTCGCGAAGCCGGTGAAGCAATGCTAGCTTGTTAAGTGGTGGTTTTATTTTAGGCTACATGTCTTTAATACATTCTGGGACTACATGCTGTCATGCATCCTGCAAGCTTACAGAGGAACACGGACTCCATCTCCCAGCATCCTCTGGGAGATCACATGACTGCTGAGCTTCCCTCACACACGGACGCTAACTCTGACTCCATTGCCCAGAGTTCTCTGGGGAATCACGTGACTCCTGACCTTCTCTCGCGCTCCTATCAGTGCTCTAGATCACCAGAGTATTGATATGTATCACCTGTGTGTTAGTCATATGACTTCATTAGTTAAGTTTATAAGTCTGGGCTTTAGCTAAAGAGAGTTGTGAGGTATTGTTTCTGCTGTGAATCTACTGAGTTTTTATTCCATTGTTTGTGTCCTGTTTTTTGACCATTGCTTTGTTATTTCGACTCTGCCTTTTGATCTGCCCTTTGGACTGTTTGCTGAACTGTTCTGAATAGTTTTTTTGACCCTTTTTGCTTGTTTCTACGACTACGTCTTTTGCCTGCCCCTTTGTGTTTGTTAGCATTGTGTTATGCTTACCATGGTGGATACCATGATGGTTTTTTGACTACAATTCTGGACTTTGTGTTTGTAAAAACTCTGTTGTGTTGTCAAACCGAGAGCGTCTGACTTTTGTTGGCACATTACACATAAAGACGTAGGCTTGGCCCACAGTTCCCATATCTGTGCATCCCTATTTCTCTAATGCTAAGTTAGCAGAGTAAAGTAACAAAATTACATTTTTAATTACGTGTCCCTCGCATTCCCATTAGCAAACGAAGAAGGCAACCAGTCATTATTTTAAGGGAGCAGGCGACCTTAATGACAAGAAGCAAGAAATACAGTGACAAGTGACCATTTCAATTTAATTTTTTCAGTTTTATGCAAATGAATGATGCAGTGTAGGGCTGTCAAAATTGGCCAAAATTGTCGTTCAATTATTTCTTCTAAAAATACACATAGGTTCAAAGCATTTCAATACCTATTTTTGCACCTTATGGCCATAAGAGAGCAAACCAACAAGAGAGGTGCATCCAATTCAGTTCCCACTAAAATCCACATTTTCCTTCACAAATCAAGACTGAGAAGAAATCAGCACCAAACAACACTGCAGCTGCAGAAAGTAAAACAAAAAAATTGTAAAAGGTGTAAATCTTCACTTGATGCTGTGAATGTGATTTATCAGAAGGAACGTGATTTTGAGCAGAAACTGAATCAGATACATTTGGGTGCATCTTTTCGAGACGTGTGCTTTGGTTGCTAGTGTTGGAATATTAGGCTAACTGCTTACATAGCTTACGTAGCTTACAACAGACTTCCAATACAGGTCGGACCTCTGCCACCTTCAGAATTGTTCTGATGACTCTGTGG